TTTTTGTACCGAGGACAGCGCAGTCACTACACAACATTGAAGTGAGTTACCTTCCAGTAAAAGTAGGACAAAGGCACCAAGGTCGACCCACTAGTAGTTGATTATAATTGAAATGATTGTCTTTGTGATAATCGTCTGCTTTGCTACTACATAGTACGTTTATGTGTTAGCATGATATGTTATATGTGATAGTGGTAGTAATAAGGGGAATAGTCCCTGTAACCAGTTGAGATAAACTGGAGGGTAGGTCGGACACCCAGGTATGTTTGACAGGGGTAGGTTAGGCACCCTGGTATGCCTAGTAGGGTAGGTCGGGCACCCATATATGTCTGACAATATGTTTATAGTTGGATATGTAGTATGGTGGGGGAACTCACTAAGCTTTGTGCTTACAATTTTCAGTTTTGTTTCAGGTACCTCTTCGTCGAAGGGGAAGGAGTCGGTGCGGTAGCAGCGCATCACATACACACACTGGGTTCCACATTTTAAGATCTATGAGATTGTACTCTGATTTTATTATTGTTCGATGTTATGATTTTGAGACACATTTATTATGGTTTTATGGATTTTTATGATATCGACAATGTTTTCAGTAAATGGCTTTATAAGTTAATTGATTAAAAACAAAATTTTTGGACTCGAAATTTGGAATGTTACAATAAGCCTTTATAAAATATAAACCAAAAATAAAATGAGAATTAGTTGTTGAAACCTAAAGGAAAGTTGCAGTACTCATCGAGATGAACACGAAGATATAAAGAATGTCGAAAAGAGAGCTTGTATGCAAGAGATGTGAATTTTTAAAGATCTGAGGTTTTACCCCCGTCCGGTGCCACGTGTCAGCACCAGAATCATTGCTTGCTACCTACACTTGACCACAACGTGGTGCGACCCTGGACAACCTATAAATGGCAACCGAACTTTGCTCATTCATCACAACAATCTACTCTAATTTTTCCATTCTTTGTAAAAGAAACTCAATTATTCTAAGCCCAATCTTTCGAGGATTTCGGCTACTTTAGCAAGGCTCTAAAGCATCAGAGAGCCCGACGGAAAGAAGTTTAAGAGTCAAAGTTCAGCCTGCGAAATTTCTGAACTTTTTTCAGAAAACTCTATAAGTTAAGTTGAACTTACTATGCTTTAGGTGTAGCTTACATTTATATTCATAGTCGTTATTATGAACTTTTAAATAAGATCTATCAATGATTCCAACTGATAATACTAATTGATCTAATTATGGGAGTGATGCCTTGGCTAGACCTATGAGGTGTTTAAAGTGGTATAACGTCCTATTTTCACAACAAAAATATTTCAGTTTTATTAGAGTAAAACTTCCCAATTATAATACCATTATAAAGAGAATCGTTTATTCTAAAATACATTTATTGAAAATCATAGTAATATAAGAAACATGGAATCTTTAATATTGTTGATGAGTGTGTACAGTCTCGCCTTCGCCTTCCCACGATCACCGATAAAACCTGAAAAACATAAACAACTGGGTAAACACAAAGCTTAGTAAGTTTCCCCTAAAATACCCCATATGATAAACATACAACCATGCATAACGGCCCACAATCATCAGATTGGAATGCTCATTCCCAATCAGTACTTGGACTAGAATGCCAACATGCGACGGGTTCACTCAGCCATCGGGCTGGAATTCCTATGGTTTGTTGGACTACCTCCTCAACCTAACCGCTATTCCTAAGCCTCCGCGCCTGTGGTTTACAGCTGATCTGCACCAGGTATCTTGGCCTACAATACAAAGCATAACCACCTCAACCCACTACCACCATATGTGGACATATGAACAATCAAGGATCAAATAGGCATATAATATAGGGAAACATCAACCATACATCTCACTACCACGTATTAGTTCTTTCACAGCCACTACAAATAAATTTAGATATAGTGGCACATAAATTTTCGTTCCCGCGTCCCTCAAATTTTTATTCCCACTTTAGTTTACATTTACCCTGTATACCTATACAATACAACCTTTATTTTCTTCTAAAAAGTAAAAATGCAAGCCCTAAATATATTTTCAAACTAAAAAAAAATCGTTGCTTATCTGCTCATCTATTATTCCTCATGCGCGATCTGCCCATCGATCTCTGCATTCGCCTCGTCGATCTCTCTATTCGCCTTTTCCATCCCACTGAAATCTCAACCTTGACAGACTTTAAGGTTTGTATCTAATCCGTTCTAGAATTTCCAGATTTTCAATGTTAATCGTTGTTGGTCAGAAGTTTTTTAAGTTTCTTTTTAACCCAGTTTCATGTAATTTGCTGGAAGTCGTTTCAAAAGCACTCTTTTGGAAAGGTGGTACAAAGTCAATTTAATACTATTACCTTTGTTTTCTTGATGAACACCAAGTGTTCGATAAAAATCCTCAATCAGACCATAAGCCCTATATGATGCGTTCATGCTTCATTTTGTTTATGATTTGTGACACGAAATCAATTATTGATGATTTAGTAAAGAATTTTCCTCCCCACAGGTTCGATTTTGGTGCTCTGATTCAACATTTGAAGAGATTTTGATGGTATTTAAGAGGAAGAGATTTGCGACATCGTTGTTTATTTGATTTCATGATGCAGGCATTTTGATTCATGGTTTTGTTTTTCATGTTTGGAACAACTTTGATCTGCTTACCTTTCCCTTATTACCTGGTAATTTCTCTAATCTTGATGTAACTGTTGTTAATAAATTTTTTAATCTATTTCAATGACAAGTCTACAACAAAATTGACAAATCTTGAGACAAATCACTCTAAATAGAAAAAAACGTTTTTGGATAATCCAAAGCATAATTGGTTTTATATATTTTTTTGAAGGAATGCATGGTTTTTTTTACCAAATTCACCAATAATTATTTGTGTATGGGCCATGGAGAAGCAAGCGTGAGACTACATAAGGGTAGGAACAGTTCTTTTGAGTTTTGACTAAATTCCTTTTCATTTGTTGTTATTCTCATTCTCACAAAATTACAAACTCATGGGTTTAACATGATGTTTAGCATTAATATGTTTTTATAAGACATAAGTCTTTGATTTACTTAATTATCCTTGGTATATATATTTATTATTTGTCACAACTCTCAATTCTTTATCTTTGGTAAAACTATTAGAGTAGTTGGTATATATTGTTTACGATTTTATTTTATTTCATAAAGCAAGTTGCAAATTATAAAATATATAGTTGGCTCATTGACCAAGTACATCTTTAAATTTCCAAAAATTAGAATCTTGTTCTTAATCATATGCAACTTTCTTTTTCCTTTTTTGATGTCATGATGATTTTAGTTAGTCCAACTAATTAACCTATGATTCTGGAAATTACCATATCATTCATTTATATATGATTCATTCTAATGTTGTTTTTTTATTCTTGAATTCTATAGGAAAACAAAGCATATGAATTGGAAAGCATACTAAAAAAAGTTGCAACAGGTTACAATACGATAATACTAACTATTCTAAACGATGCATGGGTGGAACCAAACTCCTTGTTTGGTATGTGAATCTTGAAATTCTCTCTATTTAGGAAAAAAAAAAAGTTTAATTTTCATGTCTTATTTGAAAGTTTAATTTGGTTAACTGGGAATGTAAAGTTTCAATATGGTGTGTGCACTGTATCAATTGATCTAATCCTCCCCAAGTGTGCATAATTTTTATGTCTTTTTCTAATGCTCTCTTTAACTTTACCTGATTAAACAGTAATAGCTTCATGGTTGGGTTTATTGGTTAACATTTTTGTTTCCATTTCTAATTCTAGGTTTCAAAGGAAGTGATCATCAAGGGAGCACGAATTTGAAGTCTATGGAGAATAGCATTTAGGCTTATTGATTTTTTTAAAGACACTTGTTTTAAATATTAAGAATAATATTGTTAGAGAAGTCTGAATTGAACCATTAAAGCAATGATATTGTGTTTCCATTTATTATCTTAATTTTCTTGTTCTTGTTTTATATTCCATTAAAAATTTTAAAAAATCGGACCTAGTTTATTAATATAATATTTTTGTGTTAAAAAAGTGTTACTAAAAGCATGAAAGTAATATTTATTTTAGCATTTAAATAGTGTCATAAAAATTGTGCCATTAAAATCTAAAAGTACTTTAGTGGCATAATCGAAAACTACCACTAAAACCCATAGAAGCTGCAGCGACACAATTAAAAAGTGTCACTAAAAGTCTTTTGTGGCAGCGCTTTTAGTGGCACTTTTTTTGTGCCGCAGATTCCCCAGGGGCATTTAGTGGCACTTTTTCATTTTTAGTGGTACTTTTTCATTTTTAGTGGCATTTTTTCTATGCTATTAAATGTCATTTTATTTGTAGTGAGCACAATACCCCGCTACCAGCTATCCTCCATGAAATGCATAACCATAAGTAATAGGTTAGAGTTCGTAAATATCTATATCCTTCCCAAATATACCGAACCAGCATGTTGCAAGGTCGCTCGAAGTCACCCACCCCATATATCTCGAAGTTGCCCTCTTATATACCGAATTGGCATGAAGACTCGAAAGGAAAAGAAAGACCAACGAGAAAGTACGTAGTGACGTCAAAACAATAACAATAGTACATCGAAAACATGAGAATACAGTATGTACAAGGATGCGCGGCTGATGAATCTTGGCACAACCATATGACACCTGTGTAACGTCATACGAAGTACATCTAGTCATACCTTCGAGGATAATGCCATAAATGCGGTAAGATGTCATGACAGGGTCGATACGGGAAGAACTCGTTACATCTTCCTCCTTCGCTAAAAATAGGTAATCCAACTCGTCAAGGAGGTACGTACACAGAAGTCGTACTTGTTTCACATTTTAACTCTCCACCCCTATATTCGATCGATAATACAACCTTTCGTTAATTTAACCGTCGGAGCGTTGTACGGGATCTCATCTCGACTGACTAGCTTATGGTTTGTTTGTATTCTTTAGGTCAATCTATTTGCTCGGACAAAAACTAATCCCATCATGAAAGATGGAAGAGGGACCCGATGGTACATCAAGTGGCGTCATCCGTGGGACCTCGCAACAAATAGTCGGCGCAAGCACACTAGCAGTTGGAGCGAGTCCCGTCGCGAGAATGCAAAACCTTGAAGGCATAGCACGTAGTTTCTGGAAAGTTTATCAGTGACGAGGGAGCGAAAATGCAAGGCAAAATGGCATAAGAAATGGAGTTAGAATAATTTGAAGCATTCGAAAGCATTAGGGCTACGAGGAAATTGCAAATTAAAAGACAACTCCAGAAAGAGAAAGAATGAGATCGAGTTTTGGTCCACACAGACCAAACGAAATACTCTGACGAAGAAGGAAAGGAGTCAAGCCCCCATGAAAAAAGATCAAGCCAGAAGGAGAGAAATGCAGTTTGACTATCCAATGCAGAAGACGCTCATGAAAAACAAGAAAAGCTACCCGAAGTAACAAAAGCAAAGCGATACAACCAAGATTTCAAGAATCTAAATTTTTGTTCTCCTTTTACGGACGACATTAATGAAACGTCTATTCCCAAATGGTTGAAAGGGCCGAGGGTGCCACCCTACGACGGTACTACAAATCCAAATGATCATGTATCCAGTTTCCAGTGGGGGATAAAAATGATACCAAAGGATCCAAAGTTGTGGAGCCTGTATTTCGGAGGAACTCTAGAAGGATCTGCCCGATACTGACTTGCTAGCTTACCACCTCGAAGTATAGTGAGCTTCGAAGAGGTGTGCCAAAAAGTCTATAACAGTTTCATACAACAACGAAGGTTCTAGCAGCAAGCGTGCCCGATATTCGCTTGTCGACATCGTGAATGAGAGTCAAATAAAGCATACTTTAAGAGGTTTAATGAGAGTTGTAGGAAAATTCCAACCCGGGATGACCTTATGATCATGGTGGCGTTCACTTACGGGCTCCTAGAAGGGGAGCTATTCCAAAAGCTGGTAGGGCGAGAATGGGCTAATACAGAAGAAATCATACGAAAAGTTAATCGATTCCTGTGGCAAGAAGCTGAGAGCACTAAAAAATCACGGATGGAAGGAAAGGCCATGGCGGGGAGAGGGAAAATGGAAGAACGAATTAAAACATACCCTTCTCAATCCAGTGGACAACCGCACCATAACTATAGTAGAAGGCCACACCAAAGCGAGAGGGGAAGGCGAAATGTTCGTTACCAACCATATCGATAGGAAGCATATGAAGCTTATACTCCACGAAGCCCAAATAGGTATAACATATATAAAAACGGAAAACATCCTCGAGACCTGAACAAGTACCGTGACTTTCATAAAAATTTGGGTCACATGGAGGATTGTGAAAGTTTAAAAAGAGAAAAAGAGAAAAAAAATGATCATTAAGAGTCGACAAGCGAGTGGCAAAGAAAGATGGTATACCAAAGTATGATGTTGAAATTGCCATGGTACAAGACGAAGAAGATCCCAGTGACAAGGTAACCCGAAGCAAAAAATAACTAGCATTGATATTAGTCTTCATGATCCAGTACTTTTGATCATAAAGGGACGAAACCTTCGATAATAAAGGAAACGATAGGAGGAACGTTGATCATAATAGTTTACATGGATAACGGAAGTTCCGTTAACATAATGTACGAACATTGCATGAGAGGACTGCCTTCGGACATCCAAAGATACCTCAAGCCTGCCACGGCTGCAGTGGTAAGATTCGCATGCCAGTCTGTGTGGCCAAGAGGAAAAATCTTGCTGCCCTTCACATTGGAAGACTATCGAGGTAACATTCGAAAAACCATATTAACGGAATTTGTAGTAGTACAAGCACTCTCTCCTTTTAACATACTTTTGGGAAGAACTGACTTGTGGAAGCTGCAAGCTGTTTTATCTACAGTGCATGGTTTACTTAAATTTCCTACTAAGGAAGGAGTGATGATAGTTCAAAACACCACCACAGGACCTCTTGAGCGTAGCCATGCTGTACAGCCAGAGCAAGCAAAGCCCATGGAAAAAGGAATTTCTTTGGTGGATACAAAGGAGGCATTCGTCAACAAAAACCACAAGGATCAGATAATTAAAATAGGGCTAAAGCTCCTTAGAGCGCTGTGAGACGGTTTGGTGATGATATTGAGAAAATATCAAAGTGTGTTCGCATGGGCACCCGCATATAGGACAAGTATTCCATGGTCAATAATAGAACATCACTTGAACATCAATTCCTCGTGTGTACCAGTGAATCAAGAGAAGCGTAATATAGCCATAGAAAGAAACGAAATTGTAACATCCAAAAATACGACCCAAAAATTTTCTTTTATATTGTTATAAAACCCATATCCAACCAGTGAGAAAATGGAAAATCATGGCTTGTTGAGTACGCGAGGCCCAAAATGCAAAGGCCCAATTATGATGAGTACGCGGGGCGTACTCATCTGTACGCAGTGCGTACCTGCTGCATGGCTTGTACGCTGCATGTACTGGCTGGTATGCCCATCGTACTCCCGTGTTATGCTCCTTTCCACATTAAGCACTAAATACTCAGTCCCAGAAGCTACGACTGCAGATCCAAGTCCCTTTCATCATTCTAATCCATAAAGTCGATCACTTGGTGGCTTGCAACCCACCAAATGAACCCAAACATGAAGTAATGACAACTAACTCCATAGAAGTGGCTTGATTTCATGCATGGCCTCATAATGGCCTTAAAGCTTGCAACTTTACAGATAAAGGAACTCATTGAGCCTCAAGGGTGGCAACCCTAAGCTCAAATTTGAAGTTGAATGATCAAGATCCAAACTTTGGACCTAAAGAGGTCCAAAACTTCCAAAACCTAGATCTAGACATTGGGGAAGAAAGTTAAGAGCTTTATACCTCCTCTAGATGCCAAAATATGAGTTTAATCCAGATCTTTGAGCTCAAGGCACTCAAAGGCTTCTCCTCCAACCTCTCATTTTCTTCTTTAAAGCTTTCCTTCACCAAAATGAGATCACAAAGGTCAAACACACACAACAATGGAGTATGGGGCGAAATAAGGGTTTTCTGAGGGTGAGGGGACTGGTAAGAAGCCAATAGTATGGCTATAATGTGGTATTTATACGACTTAAACCCTAAAATATAGGGTTTTTTATCTGCTCACGTACGTTGCGCACACTCCTGGTAGGCTATGCGTCCCCCGAATCCGATGCAGACCACTATGCCCTGCGTACACCCAGGCTACACCCAACGTACATCTTATGGGCAGCCCAATCTTTGGCCCAAATGCTTAAGTCCAATCCAATAGTCCTTTTTATCTACACTTGGCCTAACCATAAATTAAGAAGAATTAATTAATCAATACCTCGAAAGTCGATCGTCACAAAAATTGTCAACAAGGAAGTCAAAGCTTTAGTAAAATCTAGAGTCATGAGGGCCACACAATACCCAAAATGGATTGCCAATCCGGTGCTAGTAAAAAAACAAATGGAATGATGAGAATGTGCGTTGATTTCACCGACCTCAATAAAACTTGCCCAAAATACAGCTATCCCCTTCCGGAAATAAAGTTGAAGATCGAGTGGTTAGGAGGATACAGATGGAAATCTTTCTTGGATGCATACATAGGGTATCATCAAGTGAAGATGGCCACGACTGATGAAAACAAAACAACTTTCCATACTTAGAAAGGGACTTTTTGCTACATAAAGATGCCTTTCGGATTGTGGAATGCGGGGGCGACCTACCAAATATTGGTAGATAAAGTATTCATGCAACAGGTGGGAAGAAACGTTGACGTATAAATAAATGATATGGTTAGGGATGAGCAAAAGGACCGAACCGGCCGGAACCAGTCGGAACCGGGAACCGGCTTCGGCTAAAATCAAGAACCGAACCGGCCCGACGGTTCTATCGGTTCCGGTTCTACCGGTTCCTACCAGTTCTTGTCGTGTCTTCAAATGTTGGAACCGATCCTTGAAAAATAGCATCATACGGTTCTGGTTTTTTCCGGTTCTACCGGTTCCGATTATATCGGTTCCGGTTCCTACCGGTTCCCGGTTCCAAAAATCCACAAAAATAACGTCCCGGTCCCGGCCCGACCGGTTCCATCGGGTATCGGTTCCGGTTCCGGCCGGTTCCCCAGTCCATTTGCTCATCCCTAGATATGGTGATCAATTACAAGGATGATGATGATTTCCTGGCGGATGTGGAAGAGACTCTCAAGAGGCTATGGCAGACCAACATGAAGCTTAACCCAAAGAAATGCATCTTTGGAGTGCTAACAGGGAAATTATTGGGCCATATTGTAACAAAAACAGAGATAGAGGCAAACTTTGAAAAGGTTAAAAGTTTGCTGAAAACGGAAACACCACGAACAATGAAGGAGGTACAGAGCCTTAATGGCAAGTTAGCGGCATTGGGGCGATTCCGGCTAAGTCGGCAGACCAGACGGTACGTTTCTTCCAAACATTGAAAACATTCATATGGAAGAAAGATATATTATGGTAGGATGAGGCGCAAGAAGCACTCCAGAAATTTAAGTGATGCCTTACACAACTGCCGACCATGGCAAGTCCTTTAAAGGAGGAAGTGTTAATAGTATACCTATCAGTGAGTCATGAGGCGATCAGTGCAACGTTGGTCACGAGAAGAGGAGCGAAGCAAGTACCAATATACTTCATTAGTAGGGTACTGGAAGGGGCGGAACGAAATTACTCTAAAGTAGAAAAGTTGGGCTTTTCCTTGGTATACACAGTCAGGTGATTACGTAGATACTTTCAGGCACATCCCATCAAAGTATTAACCTGTAGCACCTGGTTCCTGGTACGTAAATTTTTTTTATCTAAGTAATTGTCATTTAGCCTTGGACTCGGCGAGTTGTAGGTCCGACTCGCCGAGTAGGGACGCGGTCCGGGGGCACGCTTAAGTTGGCGACTCGGCGAGTCATCGTTGTTTGATGAAACCCTAATCCCAAGGGTTTACCCCCTATTTAAGCTAGCTTGTGCGACCCAAGCTCGCCCCCATTCACCCTTAGAGCCCTATATCTCGTCCAAGCTTTGTTTCCTTGTGAGTTTGAAGCATTCGGTGTGTCCTCTTGAAGTTTTGGAGTAGGAAGAAGAGTAGATCAAGAAGAAGAAGAGGAGGTCAAGCATCTTTGAGCTATCTCAGTGTGTTCCCTAAGGTATAGCTCGTTTTCCCCTTGTTTTCATGCTTATTGTCCCTTATAGCTCCATTAAAGTCCTTCTTGAACCATTTCCAAGCTTGGGTAGGTTTGAGGGTTCGTAATAAGCTGATTAACCTTTAGATCTAGGCATGGTTGAGCTCCAGGAGCTCAGATCTACCGTCTTTTTGGAACCATATTACATGAAAGCCCTAGATCTACCCTTTTGGTGCATTTTGGACCCTAAAACCCTCATGGTTGCCTATTTACACGTAAAGTTGGAAACTTTACGTGTAAATCAAGCCCCAGGATCACGGATCTATGTATGGAATGAGCTGGATTCAAGTAGAATTGACCATATAGTAATTGCATGGTAATGACTCGGCGAGTCGTTCATCGGACTCGGCAAGTCGAGACGCGAGTCCCCGAGTTTTCCCCCTTTTTCGTTATGGCGAGTAGTATAGTGAGTCCGGGGTGAGTTGGAAGTCAAACTCCTCCATGAAGGAACTCGGCGAGTCAATGCCCTGACTCGCCGAGTTCAAGATAATCTTCTTAGATCAAGAACAGACTCGACGAGTTGTTCATA